GTGCCGTCTTCCAAGTGCAGACAGTCGAATTGGCGCCATCAGATGTTATGTGTGCTTGTGGCAACTCGGGCAGTAAGATGCAGTGATTATCTTTTTTTTTTTATTTTTTTTTTTATTTTTTGAGACGGAGTTTCGTACTTGTTGCCCAGGCTGGAGTGCAATGGCGCAATCTCGGCTCACTGCAACCTCTGCCTACTGGGTTCAAGCGATTCTCCTGTCTCAGCCTCCTGAGTAGCTGGGATTACAGGTGCATGCCACCACGCCCGGCTAACTTTTGTATTTTTAGTAGAGACAAGGTTTCATCATATTGGTCAGGCTGGTCTCGAACCCCTGACCTCATGATCCACCCACCTCAGCCTCCCAAAGTGCTGGGATTATAGGCGTAAGCCACCGCGCCCAGCCTTCAATGCAGCGATTATCAATAATACTTTTTTTTTTTTTTTTTTGGATACAGTCTTGCTCGGCTCACTGCAACCTCCACCTCCTGGTTTCAGGCGATTCTTCTGCATCAGCCTTCCAAGTAGCTGGGATTACAGGCGCACACTATGACGCCTAAGTTTTGTATTTTTCAGTAGAGATGGGGTTTCGCCATGTTGGCTAAGCTAGCCTCGAACTCCTGACCTCAGGTGATCTGCCCACCTCAGCCTCCCAAAGTGCTGGGATTACCGACATGAGTCACTGCACCTGGCCTACCAATAATATTTCAATCTACCTTTGTAAATGATAGCTGACTGCAACCTTGAACTCCTGAGCTCAAGCGATCCTCCCCTGTTTAGCCTGTCAAGTAACTGGGACTGCAGGTGCACGCCACTGCATTTGGCTAATTTTTTATTTTTATTTTTTGGTACAGATAGGATCTTGCCGTTTTGCCCAGGATGGTCTTGAACTCCTGAGCTCAAGCGATCCTACAGCCTTGGCCTCCCACAGTGCTGGGATTACAAGCGTGAGCCACTGTGCTGGTCCTTAAAGGATTATTAAAGACAGGTTAACAGCAAACTAAAACTCTTCTCTATGAAAGTATTGGAATAGATTTGCAAAGAAAACAGTTTTCCTTCTCTCTCTGATTCTCTCTCTTTTTGTAGAGACAGGGTCTCGCTATGTTGGCCAGGCTGGTCTCTAACTCCCTGCCTTCAAGCAATCCTTTTGCCTTGGCCTCCCAAAGTGCTGGGATTTCAGCCATGAGTCACCCCACTGGTCTCTCTTCTTCCTAGCATGTCCTGAGGCATCTGTACATCAACTCCTGGGGCAACAAACACCAAAGTTGGCCTGAGGAAAGATGGGTGTCAGGCTGTACGGAGTTTAGTTGCAGGGGCAGGGAAGGCCCCCTGAGGGGCAGCAGCGCTCATGCGCACAGGTGTGATGCTCTGTTTTTGCAGACCACTGGCGCATCAGTCACCCCATGCGTAGGAGGCTCTGCCCCTCAATCTCTGGCCACCTGCCCCTCAATCACACTGCTCCAGCCCTGGGGTTCCTCCCTGCTGCTCTTCCTACAGGCTAAGCAGTTTCCAGCCTCTGAGCCTTTGTGCTTAGCTGTTTCCTCCACTCCCATGGCCACACAGGCTTCTCCTTTCCCTTCCAGTCTGGGCAGAAAGTTTTTCTTCCTTTGTGAGCGAGCTACATACCAGGCAGGGATTCATATGGAAAACAGACCTTGAGCAATCAGCCCCTCCACTCTGAGGCTCAGTTTGTCTAACTGCAAATATGGATAATAAGAAATGCACCAGGCTGGGCACGGTGGCTCACGCCTGTAATCCTAGCAGTTTGAGAGTCAGGTGGATCATTTGAGGTCAGGAGTTCAATACCAGCCTGGTCAATATGGTGAAACCCCATCTCTACTAAAAATACAGAAATTAGCCAGGCATGATGGTGGGTGCCTGGAGTCCCAGCTACTCAGGAGGCTGAGACAGGAGAATTGCTTGAACCCGGGAGGCGGAGGTTGCAGAGAGCAGAGATAGCGCCGCTGTGCTCTAGCCTGGGCAACACAGTGAGACTCCATCAGAAAGAAAGAAAGAAAGAGAGAGGGAGGGAGGGAGGAAGGGAGGGAAAGAGAGAGAGAGAGAGAGACACCAGAACTCACCTTTCAGGACTGCCCTGAGCTTTGAAAGCAGACAGATGCCAAGTGCCTTTAAATGTAGAAGAATCAGCAGGCAGAAAGCACTCAAGAAGTAGCTGCTGTTATTAGAATAACTGCATTCTGGGCCAGGCACCGTGGCTCACCGTAATCCCAGCACTTTAGGGAGGCGAGGTGGGTGGATCACCTGAGGTCAGGAGTTTGAGACCAGCCTGGCCAACAGGATGAGACCTCATCTCTACTAAAAATACAAAACTTAGTTGCCTGTGGTCCCAGCTACTTGGGAGGCTGAGACAATCGCTTGAACCCGGGAGGCAGAGGTGCAGTGAGCCAAGATTATACCACTGCACTCCAGCCTGGGTGATAGAGTTAAGACTCTATCTCAAAAAAAAAAAAAAA